GTCAGGCTGAGATGTGGGGTGCCACGGGGAGATGCCCAGCAGGGAGGGCAGCACGGCGCTGTGCTTGCCCAGCTGGCAGCAAGGACAGTCCCGTGCCCCGTCCGGGGGCTGGCGTGTCCCTTGAAGGGGGTGTTCACGGGGATGTGCTGAGCCACAGCAGCTGGCAGACACGGTGCCAACCTGCCACAGCCCCCAGCAGCCAGCCCTGGTGCTCGGGTGGGCACTGCTCTTCTCTTCCCTCAGGTGACCACCTTCCTCCTTGACTGCTACAGCCTTAAAAATTTGACCAGTGCTTTGCCCAGACTTCTGCCAATCTCTCCACTGGCACTAGGGTAGAGGAGGGAATTGTTTGGATTCCCTGTGTTAGTGGCTGTAAAGGGAGCTGGGGCCAGGACCAGTTTGGTGCTGGGGGGAGAGCAGCTGTACCCCCAGGGTTCCTGATGGGCATCCTGGGGGCTCTGAGCTGCTTGACTGTCACAGTGGTTCCCAGGGGTGTGCTCTGCTCCCCTGACCCAGCTGGAATCTCTCTTCCTGCTCACAGTCCTTTTCCACATGTTGAGGAAGCACAACCCCACCTCTGCTCCATCAGATGATGTCCATCCTCCTTACCCTGAAAATCGGTGCTCTGGGGCTGTGTCCCAGATATTTCCTCACTGAGGTCCTTCCCAAGTGCCCTTGTGGTTTCCAGCAGGACACCCCCTTTTCCTCTGGACACCACATTCCCCTTTCAACCCCCAACAGCTGCAGGGACCCTCCCACGTGGTTACCCACAGTGGGATCTCTCCATCCTCTGCATCCCACTGCCCCCCTGGAAGGGACCTGTCGCAGTTTCGCTCGGGTTTGGCAGGGCTGGCCTGGAAGGCTCTGTCCTTCCTTCTCCCAGCACAGGTCTTCTCCTTGTCCAGAGCCCAGGTTTCTCCCTCCTGTGCCCTGTGCATGCCCGTGTCTGGTCCTGGAATGCTGACTGTCCTGCTAACGTGTCTCTCTTGTCACTCAGCCGGTGCAGGGGGGCTGCTCTCCGGGCCGGAGCTCAGAGGAACCCGTATGGTAAAAGCTGCCATCTCCAGCCTGGTCTTTGCCATCTGCTCCAGCACCCTGTGACACTAATCCTCCATGGCTCTCCCAGACCCATCCAGACTAACCCCAGCACTGGCACTACCCACACACTGCCATCCCCCTTCCCCAGGGACTCGGATGCTCTTGGCGGCTCTCGGCCTCACGCCTCCCCCCCTGCCCCCACAAACTAAAGGTCTTTGTCCTGTGTTCCCTCCCTGCCACAGCTACCAAAGTCTTCCAAGGAGTCCTCATCCTGGAGGAGGTGGAAGGCCAGGAGCTGTTCTACACCCCGGAGATGGCTGACCCCAAGTCGGAGCTCTTTGGGGAGACGGCCCGGAGCATCGAGAGCGCGGTGAGTTCCAGGGCAGGGATCTTCTGTCCTCGGCAAAAGAGGGGGCCCTGCCACACAGTGGAGTCACTGAGTCACAGAATCAGGGCTGGAAAAGCCCTCCAAGGCCATCAAGTCCATCATTAACCCAGCACTGTGTTCGCCACCAAACCATGTCCCGAAGTGCCACGTCCTCGTGATTTTTGAACACTTCCAGGGATGGTGATTCCACCCCTGCTCTGGGTAGCCTGTTCCAGTGCTTGACTACCCTTTTGGTGAAGAAACTTTTTCCTAATATCCCATCTAAACCTCCTCTGGTGCAACTTGAGGCCATTTCCTTTCATCCTGTTACCTGGGGGAAGAGACCGACCCCCACCTGGCCACAACCTCCCTTTGTGCTGAGTCCAAAATCCTTCTGAGTCCAAAATCCTTCAGCTTGACCATGGTGGTGGGACAGTTCAGACAAGAGGTTCTGCCTTAACCCCTTGGATTTCCCAAAGTGTCCTTATCTCCAGGAAAAGCCCTGAGTTAAAAACACATCCAGAACCCCTTCACCCTGTGGTTCAGCTCCACAGCTTGGGAAGCTGCTTGTGTAAATCCAGCCTCCCACCCCTAAGGAGAACCCCCTGCATTGCCAGCTGCAGGAGTAGGTGGATTTTGGGTGGCAGTGTGTACATTTGGGGGTGCTGAGGCAATGCTGGGCAAGGTAACAATGTTCTGCTGGAGCCTGCAGGGTGGCACAGCAAACACAAACCATCTTTGCAAGGACATCAACACATTCAGAGTGGGTTCCAAGCTGCACACGGAAAGCTGGCAGGCCCTCAGTGCAGTCACACCAGCAGATGTGTGCCTGGCACACGGACCAGCTGGCTCCTGCAGTTCTGCAGCACAATACCAGTGTTTCCCAGTACAGCCCAGGATGGAAACGTGCACACAAAAGTTTCATTCACGGGTTCATCCATTAAGGGCCTTTGCTGGTTTCTGTTTTCCCAGGCTGGCAACATGAAACCATGGCACAAAAGGCATCTGTGGCTGGGCTGAGAGCTCCTGCCACAGCCCTGTGCTGCAGAGACCTGTTCCCTGTGCAGCCTGCCCGAGGATGTGATGTGCTCCTTCACCCCTCTGCTCACTATTCCAAATTTAAAGGGGGAGACTGTGCCATGGGACCATTAATCAGTTAATTACTGTCTTCTGTCTTTGCCTGGAAGCCAGGGGAAGGAATTGGTGGACAGACCAGCCTGGACAGACAGCTGGCAGGGGTGTTACAGCCCTGACTTGCTGTGAGCCTTGCACTGCCACTGTCTCCTTCATGTGACTTCAGACAAATCCTGCAGTATCCAAGAGCCAAGTTTTAAAAGGCAGGCAGGTACTTAAAGATGCAGAATAGGGCTTTATGGGATTTTCCAAAGTGCCTAAGGAGGTTTACACAGCTTTAGAAGAGATCAGGAAGACTTAGATGCCACACAATAGAAAATCCCTGGATGAGCTGCACAAGGTGTCTCTGCTCTGGCTCTGTTCTGCTCCTCCTCACAGGTACCACGGGGTGTCCCACATTATTTATGGATCCTGTCCTTACCTTAAAGAATAGGGACCACCTGGAATTGTCGCCCAGCACAGCAGAGCCCTGTCCTCTGTGTGTCTGTGCCTTGCAAAGGGTTGGATGCAAACCCCTGTGGGTTGAAACCAAGGAGGCCGTCCGAGACTCCCGATCTTTCCCTGGAAAGATCCATTCCCCAGGATCTCCCCATTAACCAGGTTGTTCCCTTTGCTCCTCCCCCTCCCACCGAGCAGCTGGATGAGCTTTTCCGCAGTTCTGATGTCAAGAAGGATTTCAAGAGCATCCGTGTGCGGGACCTGGGGCAGAGCAGCGCCGTCCGTGTCTTCGTGGAGTCCCACTTTGACCCAGGTAGGAGCATTCCCTGTGGCACCCCCACCTGCCCAGGGAGGGAGCAGGCATTCCCAGCAGGAATGCCAGCTGGAGAAACACACCTTCTCCTCTCCCACAGCACATCCAAATTTGCTCCTTTCCCAAGGAAAACGCTTCCAGCCCTCCAGGCACCAGCTTAGGGCTCACCCACTCCCAGCTCTGTTGGTTTTGCTGGGCAGAAAACACAACCCTGGCAAATTTTAGGAAGGTGGGAGAGGAGCTGCTGGGTGGGCTTGTATCTTCACTCTTCCTCTTGTCCTTCCTCCTCCTGGCTGTGAGCAGCCACGTCCTACACGGCAGCTGATATCCAAGCGGCCCTGCTGAAGCAGATCAGAGCTTCCAAGAAGAAGACCATCCTGGTGAAGAAGCCCCAGCAGGAGCATGTCAAATTCATGGATTTTGGTGAGTCCCCTCTGTCTGTGGCCGGCCCCCCCTCGCTTGGATTAGGCTTTCAGATGGGCAGGGTGGCTCTTCTGCTCTTGCCAGGGCTTTTTGTCTGTAGCAGTAACCCATCAAAAGCTCCCCCAGGCAGTGCCAGGGTGCAGAGGGTAGTGCAGAATCAGGGAATCATGGAATGTTTTGGAAGGGATCTTGAAGCTCATCTCATTCCACCCCCCCTGCCACGGTGGACCCAACCCCGAGGCTTGTCCAACCTGGCCCACAGCTTCTCTGGGCAACCTGTGCCAGGGGCCTCTGAGTAAAATCCGTGTGCCCAGACTTGGTTTTCACTCAGGAAAACCATCCGGGGGTAGAATTGCCCCACTTTTTCATGGCACATGGCAACTGCTGCGCCATGGGGGACGTGGCAGTGGCAAGGGAGCCTGTCCTGCTGCTCCTGAAGTGGTGGCCAGGCCTTGTCCATCCTGACAAACCCAGAACAGCGATTTTCCAGGGAAGACACGTGGCCCGTGGGAGCGTGGCCGCCCCTGCCCCGGAGAGGGCTGCGAAGCACTAACTTCTCTCCTTCTTCCAGACTGGATCCCCAGGCTC